TGTTGCCGGGAGAGGCAATTTTTGATAAAATCGTGAAAAAGACCCACTTGGGATTTTCAGATCTGGAAAAAAAATTACGTGCATACTCGGAGGGGACATGTTCATCAACCTGCCAAGTTTCACTGATATCTGCTGTAGAATTTCTTAGAAAATGTTGGAGACGGAATTATGGACATAACCTGAATTATTAGTCCCCTTTTCAGGCTGCGCCTGAACGGGGACTAAAAAGACTCTAGGGCGTAACCTTCAATCATAAAGCCAATCACACTAAGTACTGAATACGTCATATCTTTTGATTAATCGTTCACTACATTAATAACTACGAATACAAACTGTCAGAATTAATCTGAATAGCGGCGGTTATCTGGTAATTAGTTCCAAATCACTGAGCCAAGTTCCGTCCAAAACTTCAAATAGGCCTGAACGATGACAGACATAACACAGCAATTCGCTAATAATCAGCTAATTAAGTCGCTTAACAGATACGCAAAAACAAATTCATGACAGTACAGTCTGGAAGGCGACATAGTACATGTGCAGTGTATTTTATTCTTAAATATTTGTGAGCATATTTGTTATAAATAGTATAATTGTTATTGGTGAGTTCCTCTATCTAATGTGTGGTTTTTAATTTTTATAAATATATTTTTTCTATTAATCATGTAGGGTCTTGTTTTGAATAGTAACACTGTTTCGCACAATTGGCGACAACCACACTTTCACTTTTGAAGGGCGTGGGTGTACAATCAAGTAACAATAGCTTAAGATAAGCGTCTGAAGTTAGGATAAATATTGTCCAAGTATGTACGTATTTTAATTAAACTGAGTGTAGTTGCGTACTAATCTAATCTGGGAATAAGACTCAATCTATTGCGTTTGGTTTTGCCTGTGGATACTTTTATTATTTCGTGTTTAAGCGATACTGTCGTCGCACAGCGCGTGTTCGTCGCTATGGAACCCATATTAAACATGACGCGGAATGCTTCAGTGAGTGGCTGACAATTAGATATGCAGACTGTTGCCATAATACACGCCCTCAGCGCATTTAATAGGTGGGGATTGTAATGCTTCATCCGCAAAAATGGGAAAAAACGCCATTTAAGATTTTTTTCTAAAACCCCTAAAAAAATAACCATTACATTTAGTAACATTTTTTTCAAATATATTTTTCAAAATGGGATTGGGGGAGGATCCCAGTGGCGGATTTAGAGACCCCAAATCGTCGTTACCTATACATGCATATTATATAATGCCCGATGGCGTTATTGTAAAAGTAAACCTAAAACACAAATTCAGAATCCGTCCGTGTATATCAGATTTTTATGAGAATTATTATAATGAATGCGTTTCATACATAAGTGCATGTAACATAGAGTGAGTGGCACTCATGGCAATGTTATACATATGCTAAAAAATATACATTGTTATTACAGTAATTTACTCCGACAAAGTGATTACTAGTATTGTGGAATTTACTTTCGCTTTTAAGTCACTCATTCTTGACAATTGAACACAAATCGCCCGTGTCAGAAAGGTTAAGTCAATGACCGCCTATCACAGTGTCAGATATCCACGATTTAAAATATCTAAGGTGATTTGGAAAAGTCGTTAACTTATATATCAGAAGTTGTATTAGTTCGAAATTTGCGCGTAGTACTAACACCCTACACTGTCTCCACGCCAATACACACTAGAAGTATTACTTATACCCCAAACCCTACACTGACCCCACAGCTGTTCGGCACTCTACGAACAAAATATTTTGAATTGTATGTCGACATACATCCGTTGTTACCAAGCTAGTGGATATGTATACCTTACCCTGACAACGAAATATTATAATTATACTCGGCTAATGTAGCGCGTCCGTAACTTTCACTTAAACACTGAATGAGTATTAGTGGAACATTAACCCTAACCCACTACACTATGGGGTAATACACTACTACTAATATCCATGTACAATTCCGTATGTCTCGCGGTTAGTACTTACTTTTTCACTGAAATTAACAATTGTTAATAGTTGAAACGAAATTATTTTATAAAATAAACGATTATCGGCTCAATCAGGTCATAAAATATCCTATCATATCGGACATGACATGCAAACTTTGCCCATTACAATTTCCGCACATTGTGAACGAATGCCGGAACATCAAGGTGAACGTTCTGAAAATGCAATCAACGTGATTCAGTAAGACTGTTGTGTATTAATATAGGCTATGACCATACATACATGACATGGGTGATGACACGTCGTCACAACTACCAATTTAGCTTCATAATAACAACATTTCCGAGGGAGGTTCGTTATTAAATGGAGCTGATGCTGCGTCAAAATGACCTTAGTATTACAAAATGAAAAGTGAACACACATGGAGTAAAATGTAAAATGCTATGAATATGCAAAGAACACCTAGAC